ACACCCATACCTACACCCATACCTACACCCATACCTACACCCATACCCACACTCACACTCACATCCATTTCGTTGCTGGTCTATTCAGCGCAAATAAATTCATCGCACAAAAGTAAACGAAAAAAATAATGAAATTGAAAGAAGTACTTCTTTTTGGCTTCTTATTCAATGCAACACACGATTCAATACTTGAAATAAAGAACAATCTTCGATTACGACAATAACACGTAGAAGTCAATTGAAAATGTATTGAATTTGCAGAAAAAAATCTACCAAATAAAATAAACCAAAAGTTGTAAAACTTAAAATTCAGTTTGTTGATATCGAATTATGATGTAGAGTAATACTAAAAAGACTCTCGTTATCTGATTTTTAGTAATTGATGGTGCTCATTTTGCATTAGTGCATGTTTCGAAATTTGAACTAAGAATAAAAGTAGGTGTAGATCGGAAAATGTTGTCAAATTTTCTGCTAAGAGCTTAGCTTTATTTTCATTTCAGATGTGAAAATTTTGGCTTTCCCTAGGCCCTATTAGCTGAGATATTAGCCTAGTAAAGAGCCAAGAACTAGTAAAACTGGTTTTTTTTCGTTTGTTCAATTTCTTCCATAGACCTTAGTATGTCAAACGCAATTCAATTGCAACATCATTCTATATATTATTATTGACATAGACGCTTATTTGTTATTCCGAAGATTGAGGTGTGTGTTGCATTGAATAAGAAGCAAAAAGGAAGCATATCTTGCGATTTAATTATTTTTTCTTTTTGCTTTATACAACAAATAAAGTGAGGTTGAAATAATCGGCAACAAATTATCTGTGCAGTGAATTTCAGATTGATTTTCAAAGCATGTCATCACAGTGCACTAATGTTCAAGGTCGTTTGACATCATTGAGTTTAATCACAATATTTGCATTGAGAAATAAAATAGTTGCATGTCTCAATTGAAAGAAAGTTTCATTGTTTCTATCCTACTATTGAAAACTATTTGTGAATATCTATTCTCGATTTCAGTTTTAAATCGAAAAAAAACCATAGGCTGATTTGACTTTTTACTATTCAAATATGCTACCATATGATTTCAATTATCACCTACAGGTCTCCTACAGCAAGCCACACAGGATTAAAAGAGCAGTGATTTGAGGTGGTGAGTAATATTTTCAATTCACTCTCGCTCGCGCAGCAATTTTATGTATATGAAATTCATGATTTTGTATTAGATGTAAAAATTAAACATATCTTAATTCAATTTTTTTTCGTTAGAAAATTTATTTGATGAAATCTGAGTGCCTCATATCTATATGTAAGAAGCCATTGCACAGTCGAGGACAATTGAAATTATACCCTTTGATTTTTTTTTGTTTTTTATTACTATACGTTTTTATCTATTAACTTACACTCTATAGGGAGAAGGGTCAGAACTTGCTGCATCTTTTGGTATATTTACTTTGAACATCAAATGCAGTTTAAAATGTAAAAAGTGTATTGGAAGAAAGAGGACATTTTTTTTATTTTGCAAAACTGGATGCCCTTAAGCTTGAATATTTTTTTAATATTTTGCACATATCTCTGCTTAGATAAATGATAAAGCCTTGAATTTTTTTTCAAAAAATGCTCCGTGAAAAGCTCTATGAAGGTTGTATGATTGAATTCCTTTTATCTGTTCTAATAATTTTTGTTATACTCAAAATGAACAACTTTTATAGCAGTATCACTTCTCACCATATAGAAAATATTTCGAGAGCTTTTCCGAGTCGCTACAGGATTTTGTCTATACAAGTTTTGTAGAGCTTTCGACAGCACATCTTTTAAAAGCAAATTTAATATTCCATCATTTTCTTAAGTCGAAATATATGCAGACCAAAAAAGTCTTCCAACATTTTCAGTATGATGCGAAGTGACACTGCTATAAAAGTTGTTCATTTTGAGTAGAACAAAAATTATTAGAACAGATAAAAGGAATTCAATCATACAACCTTCATAGAGCATTTTACGAAGCATTTTTTGAAAAAAATTCAAGGTTTTATCATTTATCTAAGCAGAGATATGTGCAAAATAAAAAAAAAACTACAATCTTAAGGACATCCAGTTTTGCAAAAGAAACAAAAATGCCCTTTTTTTCCAATACACTTTTTACATTTCAAACTGCATTTGATGTTCAAAGTAAATATACCAAAAGATGCAGCAAGTTCTGACCTTTCCCCCTATATATAGTAAGTTAATAGATAAAAACGTATAGTAATAAAAAAAACCAAAAAAATCAAAGGGTATATTTTCAATTGTTCTCGACTGTATAACATCCATCTCCTCATTCTAAAGAAACTTAAAACATGTGTATTTATCTACTAATTCTTTTTCTCCTGTCTGCAATATATAATACGATGATACATCAGTGAAGTGAAACAAAAACTCTCATTTTCTTGTCGAACATAATCACACACTAGAATCAAGATCTACTCGATAAACATAGCAAAACATAGGGTAATCATACTTATCCAGTATTGTTAATTATATTTGTAGATCCGCACAATATTCTGTGTTATCTTCCACTATCGGTACCATTTGTCGGTAAACTTTCTCATCAAGTACGTAATTCATCATTACAATTTCTATCTCTATTCTTACAAGTCATTCAATCCAGTATCATCATTCATTGACAAAAGATATGCCATCTCGTTCTGCTATC